CCTGCTTTTATAGCAGGGAGCGGTGAGTAAATAATGGGAGGGGGGTCGCCTGTCGGCGACATACCATATTATGGGAGAGGATGGGGAAGCTAAAAAAAATGTGAGTCACAATTGAACCCACAGCCCTTAAATATTGAAGTCTACGTAGCGAGATGACACAACTGCTGTTTGTAGAGGTGAACGCCGCTAAGGAGCTTGCAGATCTGACAGTCACCAACACGCAACCAAATTTTGCCCCATTTTTAAAAGCTGCCCCATGGCAAAGCTGCGGCAGCATGGAGATCGCTAATTGAATACAAATCTGTTTCCCTTTTGTAGCGTCTTGGTTATGACATGGTTGAAGAAAGTTCTGTTAAAGTATGGCTCGAGGCGTCTTCTTTCAATTGCTCGGAAGGTGGGTTCCACATTTCTCTGTTGGAAGTCTAACACTGGCGAAATGGGGCTCGCGGAAGGCAATAAAGCTCGCCTCTTATGTTTCATTTCAAAACATAGCAGAGGACCTCTAGGCAAAAGGGGCGGCCAGGAGGTGTTGCTAGAATCTGGTATTTGTCAACGGAAGCTATTGGAGGACTTTGTTGCCTTCTGCCACTCCAAAAACATAAAGTAAACTTAGGAGGAAAGTGGCAAAACCTATTTTCAGGAGGAAGTGAACATACTGAAAAGCCTTCCATCTGAAATCAGAAATATTGGGATTGTTGCTCATATTGATGCCGGCAAGACCACTGTTACCGAAAGAATGCTTTATTTGGCTGGTGTGATTCGCAGCATGGGCGATGTCGATTCCGGAAATACAGTTACTGATTATTTGGACATGGAAAGAGAAAGAGGTGGATATTGCTGTCTCTAGACCATTCTTGCTTTGCTTTCGTAGTTTTTAAAGTATCCAGTAGATCTTTTTCTGAAATTCATACTTCTTTAAATGTTCCATCAGGAATGGGTACGTCCTTATTGCTCTTTCTTTAAACTAGTGCGTTTTGAAGGATAGTTTATGGCAATTAGGCAAAGGTGGAGTCACCTAACATCACAACCATTGCGTTAAAACTTCTTTTATTTCTTGCATAATAAGAAGTAATACTTCTTATGTCTATAGCACTTTTTTGGAGGTACTAGGTTTTCACTAAATCCCTGACTTTCATGATGTTGAGTATCTAGAAACTTTGGAGATCTGTTGTAATTCTGAACATTTGAGAGACCACCTAGAAGCTCGAAATGTGCTAGCATACGGTTTCTTAGACAAACTGTTGTGACTTTCGCGTTGCGCTTCTAAAGAGCTATTATTAAAGTTACAGTCAAGTACTTTAGTGATTGCTTGTGCCATTGCACTTCGTGCGCGCTCATCCTGAAAGAATCCTACGCTAGGTGGATCGCCCATTATAGGTTTTTGTTGCAGTTTCTTTGTAATTTCTTTTTTTTTGCTTCATGTATTATCGTATACGAAATCATACAAACAAGTTTTTTTCCGTTTTTGTATTTTTTTGCTATTGCAAATTGTAACAAAGCTCAAAAATACTAATATATCGTGCGTACCGTCAGCTCCCAGAAATATAAGCATAGCGGGCGGAGTATTACGGCCACTGAAGCGGCGCGGTAGGTTATGTGTGGGACACCAATAATTATTTTACTAAGCGCGTGGAAATCAGCTGATCA